GGGAATCACTGTATTCCACTGATTTTCCTCATCCCACCAAGTTTCTGAAATACCCACAATGTCTATTTTTCCCTCCAACACCAAGCACTCCAACTCCCCGATTTTACCTCGGACACTTCTAGCATTTGTATAGAAATAGCTGTAATTTCTCATACAAGTTAAGCCTGCAACCTTCCTCTTGCTATCTCAAGACCTTGTCAGGCAGTCCATGTCACTAGCCATGGTCTCAGTGGACAATTTCAATCCACCTCCCTGTAGAAAAGCAACAGGTACCCCCTCATCTCTCTGAGATGAGCCAACCCGAATCAGAGACTTTTCATCTCCTGTCGGCTTTCCCCCAATATTCAGTTTAAAAACTGCTCTGCCACCTTTTTGATTTTAAGTGCCAGCAGCCTGGTTCCTTCTCGGGACAAGTGGAGACCATCTCGCCTGTACAGCTCCCTCATTCCAAAAAGCATCCCAGTGCCTAACAAACTTGAACCCTTTCCCCCCTACACCATCGTCTCATCCACGCATTGAGAATCCTGATCTGTGCCTGTCTCTCCAGCCCTGTGTGTGGAACAGGTAGCACTTCTGAGAAAGCTACCTTGGAGGTCCTGGACCTAAGTTTCCTGCCTAGCAGCCTAAATTTCTCCTCGAGGACCTCACGACTGCATTTCCCCACATCATTGGTGGCGACATGCACCATGACCACTGGCTCCTCCCCAGCACTATCTACCAGCCTATCTAAAACACGTGTAATGTCCACTACCTTTGCACCAGGCAGGCAAGTCACCATACGGTCAGTACGCAGGTTCGCCACCCAGCTGTCTACCTGCCTAAGTATTGAATCACCCACTACCAAGAGCCCCCCTCCCACCCTGCCCAGGGATGGTTCCTTGGTGCGAAAGGATACCCGCTCACCAGCTGGGGAAGAGGTCCCTTCTAAGGGCACATTCCCCTTATCCTCAGCACGGTGCCCTGTTTCCCCTTGACCGTCATGCTCCCTGACAGTGGCGGGGCTGCCGGATCCAGAGTGGGACATATCTATCAAGTCCCCGAGAGTCTTTTCTGTGTGTCTAACTGACTGTCTCTGCTTCCCCAGGTCAGCCACCTTGGCCTCAAGGGAGCAAACACGTTCCCTGAGAACCAGGAGCTCCTTGCACCGAGCACACACCCAAGACTTCTGTCCAGTGGGCGGATAGTCATACATGTGATACTCCGTGCAAAACACTGGATAGCCCCCAACCCCCTGCTAGCATTCTGGCTTCATAATTTTTTTTAAATAAGTAAATGTAATCCCCCTTTTAAAACCCTTTGTCTTTATATGGTTTTTCTTGTCAAAGTCAACTTACCTTACGGGGAAGACAAAGAGCCTAGAGCCTTGGGTTTCTGGCTCTTCTTGGGCTTCTTACAGAGCCACAGGCAAAGAGCCCTTTAGCTCGCCCTTCGGCTCGTGCCTCTGGCAAGGTGCTTTCTTAAATACTGAATTAAAGTCAATCACAGTCAAACAGTGCCCCTTCCTCTCCCTCCTTCCTAGATGGGAGCACATCCGGCCTGCACTGAAGGCACTGTACTGGCTGCCAATAGCATACTGAGTCCGCTTCAAGGTGCTGGTACTCTCCTTTAAAGCCCTATATGGCCAGGGTCCGACATACCTGAGGGACTACCTTTTCCCATATGTACCCCAGAGAGCACCACGGTCGGGGTCACAACATCAATTAACTATTCCAGGCCCTAAGGATGCCACCAGGGCCAGGGCCTTTTCAGTGGTGGCTCCATCCTGGTGGAATGAACTCCCGGGAAAGATCAGGGCCATGCAGGATCTTTTACAGTTCCGCGGGGCCTGCAAGATGGAGCTCTTCCACCAGGCTTTCAATTAGGAGCCGCCACTACTACCACCAACATCTGTGGTAAAGGGCTGGCCCCAGCTTGGAGATCGAGCCATATCATCGTGTGATGCCGGAAGATCACTGAATCGGAAATTTGCTTATTACATCATATAGCCCGCCATCTTAATTGATGAAGGAGTGATTATTACTGTGAGCACTTTGATTATTTGATTGTTTTAAAATGTTTTAAATGTTTTATGTGGATTTTAAGATACTTTGTACCGATTAATGGGAGCCACCCTGAGCCTGTTCGCGAGGAGGGCGGGATACAAATGGAACGACTAAATAAATAAAAATAAATAAATACTGTTGACCAGTCTGCTGGTATGTGAAGAAGAAGGCTGTGGAGGTTCTGTGAAACATCATATGAATTTCATTTTCAGTACTGATTCTCTTTTCTCCACCTTTTCCAGAGTTCGTGATGATGCTGTCATCTCGGTAATAATATTTGGTGGAAAGGGACTGTCTCTTGCCTCCCATCCTTACTGTCTTTGCTTAAGCAGCTGGAAGGAGTCAGTTGCCCTTTGATGGACCTTCATCTCCTGGCATTACCCACAGAAAGCTGACGTCTTTCCCTCTGTCTTGGGTCCTTCACAGGCTTCATGAAAACCATGCATATCAAGCTCTATATTGAACTCAACCTCACTGAGCAGGGTATCTCAGGGGCACCTGCCATCTACGTCCAAATTGAGCTATCCTGCTTGAGGCAAGTTGGCTAGGCCAGAGCTAGATAACTCATCTCACAGTTCCCTCTATCTACAAGAAGCACTCAGTAGCCAATACAGCTGGGTAAGGAAAAGTCTTGCCAGGTGTTGAGATCTATGAGCAGGGGTGATTATCCTGTATTCAGACTTTATGCACAATCTTAGCTTCATTCCTGACATCAGAACTGCTGGAGATTGCCACTAGAGTGTCCAGTAGTCACGGTGAAAGTTAATCTTTCATTTCTATCAGGGGTGCCCACGTCTGGCTGAACTGAGTGGCAAATGCACGTCTACCTGGGGCAAAACTGCAAAACCAAAGAAAGGTGTCCGTGCAGAGGCAGGCAGATGGAATCACAGGAAGGACTCTGGCTCCTACTCACTAGGCTACAAATATTGGTAGATGTAAGGACATGTGTTCTGTTCGGTTAATTCTGTTACATAAAAGTTAGACCAAGTGGTGATGAGCAGGCAAAGCCACCCTGTCCAGAAAGCAAACAGGAGAGTTTTCTCTGGACAACGCTTTGCTAAGAGTCCCCACTATTGCTACAGTCTGGTAAGTGCTCCCCAGGAACTACATCGTTGAAGCCCAGACCTGGACATGTTTGAGTAATGGTTCAAATCTTACCACCTGCTGTGCTGAGAGTTAGCAGGACTCTGCACAATAGCATAAGGGCAGAGAATCTGCTTAGTAAGCAGGAGGTCCCAGCTTCGCTCTTTGGCATCTGCAGTTACTGCCTCACAAGTAGCAGAGTTTGGGAAAACCTCAGTCTCAAATCACCAGCCGGAGTAGAGAACATGGGGTCTGGATTTGGTGGGCCCACAGTAGAGGGAAGTGTCATATGTAGGGCCTTGGAGAAAGGAGCACCACATGCAGACATAATTCACTTCGTTCCTTTTCTTCTCACCATTCAGAAAATACGCTGTTGAAGGCTTTCACGGCCGGGGTTCATTAGTTATTGTAGATTTTCCGGGCTGTATGGCTATGGTCTTGGCATTGTGGTACCTGACATTTTGCCAGTAACTGTGACTGGCATCCTCAGAGGTAGAACACAGAAAAAGATGGAATAGTCTCTCTGTCAAGGTGAGAAGAAAAATGGTAGGCAGGTAATTTATATCTACTCAGGAAGGTGGGGTAGGGCTGAGTCATTATCTTGTAGGAGTTTCCCAGGCTGTGACATGATCATGGAGGAGCTTTCCTGAGGAGGTTCTTTTGCATATGGATTGGCTGTTGAAATTCTTATCTGTAGTGCTGTTGTAAGATGCTGAGCATTTTCTGTTTTTCAGGACTGGAAACCAATGCCCTATTTATTTTTAAACTCTCTTCCTTCCTGTTGAAATTGTGTTTATGTTTATTAATTTCAATGGCTTCCCTGTGATTGATTGATTTAATTTGTTATCCCACCCTCCTGGCCTAGGCTGTGTAATCTGACATGGTAATTGGATGTGTTGGTCCAGCGTTTCAGTGTCTTGGAATAAGATACTGTGTCCTGTTTGGGTTAGGCTATGTTCAGCCACTGCTGATTTTTCAGGTTGGCCAAGTCTGCAGCAGTGTCTTTCATGTTCTTTTATTCTTGTCTGGATGCTACGTTTAATTAAAATAAATAAAAAATCTAAAGCACGCACTTCCTCAGTTGTTTGTTTTACCTTTGGTTTAATTAAAATAAATAAATCATCTAAACCACACACTTCAAGCAAATGGCTACTCCAAGAATGAAATCAGAAGATCAATTAACCTGAAGGTAAAACAAACAACTGAGGGGGAAAAGTGTCCCATAAGAAAAGTGTTTTTGCCATATATCAAAGGAATCACTGATCAGATGGGAAAATGTATAAAAAAACACAACCTACAACTGAACCAACCTGAAAAATCAGCAGTGGCTGAACATAGCCTAACTCAAACAGCACACAGTATCTTATTCCAAGATACTGAAACGCTGGACAACACATCCAATTATCATGTCAGATCACACAGCCTAGGCCGGGAGGGTGGGATAACAAATTAAATCAATCAATCAATCACAGGGAAGCCATTGAAATTCATAAACATAAACACAATTTCAACAGAAAGGCGGTTTAAAAATAAATAGGGCATTGGTTTCCACTCCTGAAAAACACAAAATGCTCTACATCTTACAACTACAGATAAGATTAGAGTTTCAACAGCCAATCCATATGCAAAAGAACCTCCTCAGGAAAGCTCCTCCATTTGCATGTCACAGCCTGGGAAACTCCTACAAGATAATGACTCATCCCTACCCCACCTTCCTGAGTAGATATAGATTACCTGCCTACCATTTTTCTTCTCACCTTGACAGAGAGAGACTATTCCATCTTTTTCTGTGTTATACCTCTGAGGATGCCAGTCACGGCTGTGGGCAAAACGTCGGATACTACAATGCCAAGACCACGGCCACACAGCCCGGAAAATCTACAACAACATTTGGAAAATGCTAGCAGTTTTTGAAGTTTTCACAGAACAAAACGTCTTCTCCTGTGTGAAGTTTTTCTCTGAGATTCTTCAGTCATGGGCTGCCTGGAAGCTCTTTCTAAGTTCCATAGGTACCTCCATAAAATGAAAAATAACAAATACTGTGTTTCTGTGTATATCCTTCCTGATCACTCCACGGGCAGACAGGAACTTTAAGAACAGCAAATAAAAATGCAAAGGAAACATTTGCACAGGCTAAGATAATTTGCTCTGCAAAAGGTTCCAAATACTCAAGGGTTCCTTTCAGCCAGTGGATCCAACTTTTGTCTGCACAAAGAGGGAATGAAGTCAGCACAGTTAGTAATGAGGCACCCAGAATCATACACTGGTGAATTCTGGGGAAATGCCCCCACTGACAGGATTGTACAACAGTCTCAGAACTGACAAAAAATCCCCATTCCTCACAAGTGCACATGTGTGCGCGCACCCAGCACAGATAACGTAATTATTGTATCTGTTCGAGCTTATCTGACCTCACTCCGAATAGTTCTGAGACTGTGACGGGGACCCCTGGGGTCAGTAGGGGATCTGAGGCTGGACCGCAGGATCTGAATGTAGGTTTACATCCAGCATTTATGCTCCAGGACCACACTGGCTCACCCAAATGAGGGCAATTCTGTCCCACAGGCATCTAAAGACAACCTGAAGAAACATGTTGAGGACACGGTGACTTTAATTTATTTGGATGAAAACTCCATTGCACAAACATAGGAAAAAGCTGTCTCCAGTAATAGATAGCTATTCTTTTTATTTCTTTGCAAGCGTAGGGAGCTTGGATAACTCACAAAGCAGCAGCTCAGAACACATTAACAATACATATTGTAATTGCTTTCTTGCACTGTATAATTTGTCTGGTTACCTTGATTAAACTCGACTTGTTTAAAGCTTCTTTTGCAATGCAGGCAAGGAGAATGTGTGTTTTTCCATCCAGACAAAGGCCACTTTCCAAAATGTCTTCCCCCATTGGCTGTCTGGAAAATGGGGTCCCCGGGTTTCAGGGGCAGGAGATCTTTATCCTGAGGAAGGCAGGCTTGGTTACAGGTCAAGAGTATATATTCTTACCCGTAGCCCATGTTCATGTACCTTCATTACACCATCCTTAGAGACTGGACTAGCAAAAGCAGCCTTAATAGGAATTTGGAACTGATATACTGAAACCACCATCACCACCATTTACCCTGCAAAGCCAGCATAGAATCCTGTGGAATTGGATGGAATAGGTGGCAGTGGCACACATACCTTTAACAGCACGTAGCAGAAGGGATTAGGGCAACTACACTGTTTCTTGGCTCCTCAACACTATGGCATGACAAACTGTAGCTGCCAAAACTTACACTTATTAAAGGTATAGTAGGAGCCCTGACCTCTATTGCTTTCCTAGTGCAGTCACTACCCAAATACATGCTAGGTTGCAATTTGTCTCTCTCTCACACACAAAAAGGTGTCCGATCCTCCACGCATTCAGCTAAAGACACGTTTGTAGCAAAGTGGTGTTTATTAAAGCAATGAAGAAACTGGAACACAGGGATTGTTTGGAATGGCCAGGAAATGCAGGGCACAAGATAATAAACGGATTCATCCAATGCAATAACCAATAATCATGGTTCCCGCTTTCACGGGTGTTTCCAAAGCTCGCGCCTAAAGCCTGAGAATTGAAACGGCTCTAAAGATAAACAATTACTAGCTTCTCATGACCTAGCTCATTATAATATATGCGCAGACACAACTCCAACTCCGCACCTGTTAACCTTGTAGATAACTAAGTTTCAAAGCAGTACTAGCGTATACAGAAAGGAATGCAGATTGCAGGCTGCTGGTAGCATACATGCGCAGTGGGGTCTGAGAAGAACCAGGGAGGGCAGAGATGGGGTGTACAAAGGTTACACAGAGCTCTTTGGCAGCTTGCTGACAAAAGGGTTTTCCCACCTTTCTTTCTCATCTTTCTCCATACTCACTTGCAGCTTTGGCTTTACCACAGCAGAAATCTCACAATCGGGATAGTGGGGGTAGTCTATGCACTGAACAACCTTGTGTGCATCAATCTCAAAGGCTGGGAGCAACATGCTTGATAATAGGAGAATATGGTATGGAAAGCCCAGCCAGAGAAACAGCTATATCCCCTAGGGCTTCTTGAGCTCAGAAGGCAGAAAAAGTTCCTCGCTGATCCACATAAAATATGGGACCTTGGTCAGCTAGAGCATCTGAGCATGGTTAATGCTTCAGAAAGTGACTTCCTTCCCAAATGAGAGCCTGCTGTATCCTGAAATAGGAAACTGGCCATGGGCCAGTGCAGAGTCTTATATCATGGGCCACAATTATATCCCCAAATCATTTCAGTGTGATATATGATTGGCTCTTGCTGTGAGTGTTAGAAATTGGAGATTGTTGGCATTCAGCAATAAAACTATACAAGCTATGGCTTTTGTTGTTCACTCACACATTTGAGTCCGACTCTTCGCGACCCCATGGACCAGATCACGCCAGGCCTTCTGATCTTCCGCCGTTCTCTGAAGTTGGCTCAATTTCATGTTCATTGCATCTGACACTGTCTAA